CTTTAAAAATAAATAAAAGGATTTTAAAATGAATCCTAAACTCTACTGGCAACCAGTGTAAGGAAGCTAAAATAGGGGAAATACGGTCAAATTATCATGTACATGTTAAATGACATGCAGCAGCATTTTGTACCCTCTGAAGCTGGGAATTAAATAAATCATTTACTCCTATATAACGTGTATTACAGTAATCCAGCCATTTGAACACTAATGCACAAATCACTGTTTCAAAATGCTTTCTGGTAAGAAAAGGGTTTACTTTGGCTAACTGCCTTAAGTGGAAACAAATAGATTTTACAACTTAGGACAACATAGATTTTACAACTTAGACTTACGACCAGCATCTATCTTGACCCTTGTATTTGTAACAACCGGCTTGACATACTGGGCCAAAGAGCCAAGATTGGTCAGGGAATCTACTGTGGATTTGCCAAAAATCACTACCTCTGTCTTATCTTCATTAAGTTTCAATAAATTTAGAGCCACCCAGGCCTTCAACTCTTCCAGACATACAGAGAACCAAGAGAGGTGAATGTGTTTTAAAAGATAAAGTACCGGTAAAGATAAATGTTATTCATTTGCTTCTATGTTAAATCATTTGTGGTTTAAGCCTTCCTAAGTTTTATTAGTGGAGATTTGATCCTTGTTTAAAGATGAAATATAACAACAGTCTCATTGGAAAGGACCTCATGGGGTTAAAATATTCCCACTTCTTTAGTACAGAGATTTTTTTCCCCCTGTGGTTTAAACACATCAACACCATCATTGATGAAAGTAGATCGGAGAGGAAGGGAGCTGACTGAGCTTTCTAATTGCCTCATCCGTCCTTAATGTGCATTTAATTTTTCCAAAGTATCCACAATGACCTTCACTGAAAAATAAGCTTCAATTGGATCACTGGAGCAGCAGAAAATTATGCTCCTAAAGTTTCTTATGGAAAACAAGTGCAAATGAGCCAAACAAATGTAGGAGTTTAGTGTTGGGCCGACGTGGGCTGTAGAACACATCTTAAACAGAACTGAAACTCATCAGTTTTATTTCCGTTAGGCTTTTGTGATGTTAGAGTGACAATGTACACTATGTCTACATATTAAGTGTGTAGAAAAATAATCTACAGTTCTTGCAAAGAAAACTCTAGAAAGGCTGGTCTGTATTTGTGTTCAGTCTCCTATACCCTGACTAATCTTTATAAAATAAAAAAAGAAGAGAGTAGTTGAAATGTGATGTCTTATGAAAGAGCTTAATGGTTGTGAATACTTCTGCAAAGTGTCACATTTGTCAGTTTAATCACATGTCTAGTTATATAAATAAAGACTTACAAGAGAGAGCAGCTGCGTGAACATAAGGACAAATTTAGAAAGGGGAAAAAACAGATATGTGTTGCTTTTTAACAACTCAAGGGTCCGATTTATATTGACCCAAAACACATTTCTACCTTCCGCTCCGAAGCTTGTGATAACTGATGTTGTGCTAAAAAAGCTTTATTTTGTTTCCCTTTTATGTTTAGTTTATTTATAAGGCAAATTGATGAGGTACTTAAACATGTCATTTGCTGAAAGAGTAATTTACTCATAGGAGTAATTAAAAAAAACTATGTACAAGAAATATGAACATTTTACAATATTAATTTTTACATAATAAAATACTCATTTACGACTGTTTGCCATTTACACTTCATTTTTAATGGGCAACAAATGCCTTTAAATGTAACTGAAATATCAAGACTTTATCTAGCAGCTGAAACTTAATAAAATGACTTGAAAATTGTTTATTATGAACAGAGAACAAGCTTTCCGCTAAACATAGAACAAATTTAAGGCCTCTATTATTTATCAAGAGCAATGAATGCTGTGCAAAGATCTGCAGCTGGCAAGCAGCAGTTTCTTAATAAAAGAAGTCAAAATTTCTTTTACTAAGTGTATTTACCCTTAATTTGAGTATTGAATAAAATGATCTGCCAATAGAAGGATTATATTTACCCTAAAAAAAAAGATAATTAGATATTATGCACTTGAAATAAGAGACTGCAGTTGATTTTTATTAATTTAAATAAAAATTGTCTTGTTCCATGGGCAAAGGGTCTCAGCTCTTCAATTGAAGAAAACATTGACTTATTTAAAAAAAAAAAAATACCCTTTTAGATTTTTTTTTCCCAATTTTGTCTTAGCTCTAATTATTTTATCTTTGGAGTTTCCAGGACTGTCAGCATCTTTAATATCACTGTGTGTATGAATAGAGACAGTATGTATCGTTGGAAAGTACCCTATGAGATCTACATGTCTTTAGGCCAGAGGTTGTTTATTAGTCTTTAGCCAAGTCCCTGGACTTCCAGCTAAAGGAAATAGTCGTGCTAGCAGCCTGGGGATTTGCCCTGTGGCCTGAAAACAACAATGACCTGTCTGAACTTAAAGTGCATCCATCATTTTAACCACATTTGCAGAAGTGAAGCCACAGTGTATATTTTCATATGTATAAAACTTTATCACCACATTTTAATGACTAAAATTATTTTATTTTAACCATATAAGGTGTATAAATGATAGCGAAACTCCTTAAAAATAATTTAATGTATTTGTTTATTATAAAAATAGATTATACGACATTTCTAAATATGGGTCTGTTTTTTCCCCCACAATATGTGGTTTAAAAAGGCTTTGACTGAATAGTGGAAAAGAGTTTTGTGTTGGTTTTCCCACTGCAGGTTCATGGCCTGGCAGGAGATGAACATGGGAATTAACGATGACAAGTGTGTACAGGGGTTTTGTTATCCTCATACAAATACCAAGTGGTGCTGGGCAATAAAATGATTTAGAAGATTTGATAAGAATTTGCACAATTTTCTGGTTTTATTCAAACACGTTTAAACTTTTAAGCCATACTGCTGATGGCATTTAAACATTACTAGGGAAGTACACAGATAGATACTAGGTGGTGCTAGAGAACCTGCACTTTTCCCCTCTGGACAAAAAAGTATTTGAGCCATTGTACCATGTAAATACCATTTATGAATTCAAAAGCCTATTAAACCCAGAGTCTAGATCTTTGTAATTTGGCTCCGCAAGACTTGTAGCATCACCTCATTAGATCCTTGCCCTGGTGAAGAGCAACTAAACAAGTGTATTTACCTCCTTCACCAATCGGCTAGTTAATTGCATAAACGTCTTTAATGGCCTCGGCCAGCTGCCAAGAAAAGGTTTAAAATGCAACTCTTTAATTCAATTAGAAAAAAATTTAATGCTTTTTATAGATGTAACTGTTTATGTGCTGTAATGGTCCCTGTATGGAACATCCATTTGTCCTTTTCTATGACAACTACTGCACACAGGTTACCCTTTGTCTCTTAAACATTTCATTTAAAAGCAAACATAAAGCCAAATGATCACAATTTGTAAAAATACATTTGAATAAGGTTCCATTCATTTCAAGTGGGGCGTGTAGATTAAGCTGCATTTTTAAATTCTGTGTTTATCTACGACTGCAAAAAATTACCTGAAAATCTAAGCATAAAAATATATAAGATGATCTGTCAGTGGAATAAGAGGTTTTAACCTTAAAATAAGATAACCAGATATTATGTACTAGAAATAAGATAATAGATTTGTGTTTTTTAATATTTCACATATAAATCTTCAGTTCATCTGCAATTGTCATATATACCCAATAAACCTAAAGATATTCAGGAATCCTGGAAATAGTTATTTATTTAAGTGACACCAGTTTCGCTTTGGTACCTATGGACTGCAGAAGATCGTTAAAACGTCAGCATTAGGCATGTTTGGCTGTTGGTGTTCCCATGCGACGTATAAGGTGCCCTTTTTTCAAACTGAGCACCTGCCCTATAAAAATGTCTGTGCACACCACTGAACATTACTTTACGGAGGATACAGAACTAGCACTGGAATGATTATTAATTATTGAAATAATCCTCAACTAATCAAATTGAATTGTTACCAAAAGTAATAATGGACATTAAAAGATACCATTTGGTGAAATAATTACCTACTTACAACTTTATTTAAGGCAAAACTTTACAAAACATATAATGAAGGTTCAAAAACTTCATTTTAAGCAAATAAAATTACATGTTTGTAAAATGCATCTGTCTAACATTTTGGCCATTTACAATTTATTCAAAATGCACAAAAAATTTTGTATTTATTATATTTGTTTATTTTAAAATGTTAATGATTTGAAGTAATTTTTTAAGTCAATAGATTAAATTATTATACAATAAGAACGTCTCATCATCACCTTTTTCAGTGTTTTACTGAGTAAAGTCTGAAATGGAGCCTGTTGAGTGTCGAGCAGTGATCATGGGAGACTTTTGATGAAATGAAAGTAACTTATGGTGATGATGCCTATTAAATTAACTTGCAAAGTGTTTTACAAGGTTATATTATGGGACATTATCACTATAAGTTACTTTCATTTGACCAAACACCATTGTGTGACCCTTTCAAATGCAGAACCTCATACTTGACTCAATTTTAACACCAGTAAATCAGAAACCACAATTAGTTCAGAGCTGTAATTTGCTATTTAATCTATAAAGATTTAAAATACTTCACATGCAAAATTTCTGCTCGATCAAACATCTGGAAGTGGGCCAGGGGCATCACCGTACTTATTGAACGCCCCTCGTAACTTAGAAATTAGAATTTTAACTGACAATCATTTTACATTAATATCCAAAATTGTTAATTGCTGGAGAAATAAACCATGTTTTTGTCAATACGATTCAGCTTTAGTGTCAAACAGTCTGAGCGAGGTTAAGATGTATTTACAAACTTAGAATTGTTATTTAAAAGACTTCTATAGAAGAAATATTGATCTTCTGATTGAAATGTGATTTCTCTAGAGTTGCAGCATTCACAGAATATTTATATATAAGGAACAAAACAGGCACCTGGTACAGCGTATTCAAATGCCTCTTTTGCAAAGTGAAATTAGCATTTCCATTTTAAATTGTCTGTATTAATGTGTTTGTCCTTCTCTTGCAGGACATCGAAGAGTTCAGCTTTGTGACACAGCTGGCCGGCCTCACAGACCACCTCTCTGTGGCCATGAGACTGGCTGTTTCCACCGGGGAAGAGGAGCCTTAGATCCACCGCCTGACTTATAGGACTTCTTTCATTTTACTGCCATGGAAGAAGGATTAATTAATTAAATGAAACCAGGAAGTTAAGAGTTTACAGATACAGAGCTGCATGGGGAAAGACTGGAGGGACAGCAAGTGGATGAGTAAATCAGTGGAAGAACGCTTTAAAGAAGAAAGACGAAAGTGAAAAGAGAAAATGCTGACAAGGAGAGATACGCTGGGGGAATTCAGACAGGAAGTCAGAATTTTTATTTTCATCTTCCCGGGTAAATTACCCACAGATTCACACTGAACACTGCGACTTTGAGACTGTTGGCCTTTTCCTCCGACCCTCCTGAGTCCAAAGGGTTTGTTTGGAGTGTTTCATGTAGCCAATGCACACACTTGTTTTATCGGATCTGTCTTAGGACGTAGATAAAGTATGATTCTTATTTTTATGACTCTACCTTCAGGGACAGCTGGATGGTCATTGTTCAGTGTATGAAAGAAGAACATAAAACTGAGGTGAAGCTGCTGACCGGCCTTTACAGTGACCATCTGTGACCTTGTGTTGTGTTTCTTCCTTCCCTGAAAGTTTTCGGTCAGTTTAGCTGTTGGTCGTCTTCTGCGCTGACCCCCCTCACATCATTCCCAAAATCTCAACAAGTGTCTTTTTTTCTTACCAACAAAGCTCACTAAAACAAGAAAAGAAATAAGAGTTTCTATTACAGACGCTCCACTTTTTATAAAATGTATAATGCCTGTTTAATATGAAATTATGTTTCTAAGGGACGGTAAAGGTTGGATTCAATGTGATGCTCTCAGCATGTTCTTTAGATATTATTAGGATGAATTTGAGGAGAGTTTTTTTCTTTTTTTGATAAAGCTCCATTGATGCATGAAGGTTAAAGGTTAACTACACTGTTATAACACCCTGACTTGAGATTGGATGCCTCAAGGTGCATTTTGCCCTGAAACACTCACTGCAGTATACTATTGTGCATGTTGAAAACAAAGAAAGGAGTACAAATGAAGAACGGGAGTTAGATAACAAAAGCACACAACCCCACTTTCTGCAGAAGATAACAGTTTGTAGGAAACCCTAATAGCAATCATCATCATTATGACTGTCCCCAATAGAAAAAGACTTTTTGATTAGTTAGAAATCTGTGAAGCTGCAATGCTTTATTTTCAATTATTTGTCACATAGATTTGTCCGCTCATTAACCACATTTCTATATAGGACAAAGATAACCCTGGTTAACACACACAAAAAAAAAATGTTTTCTAAATTATTGAGTCTATTTATTATAGAAGTGCAACAACTGTATTCAAGTGTTGGAGGTCAAAACAGGTTTATATCCATGTATAGGAGTACTGATCTATTATCTTTAATTTAGACACATTTAAAGGGCTAGAAGCTAAAGCGGCCTGTTATAAATTCAAGGCTTTGACTAGACCCACTATAAAATCATCATTGATCATTGTGTGACCCATTCCGAGGTTGATATCACTCACCATCGGCCCTGTTTTTAATTCAGTGTTTAACATCGATCGGGTTTTATCAGAAGGGGAGGGGACAAATGTTTCAGGTCTTATAATCACAAAATACCCTTTAGCTGGTTAGTCCCTCACTACAGTTCATGACCATTTTCAGGGGAAGGTTTTTACTTTTATTTAAGTCTACTTGTGAATAATTCCAACAGGAAAAGACTCCTAAACTTGAAGGATGAGCTTATGTTTTTTTTTTTTGACACACGCCAGGGAACTTTATGACCTTTAGATTCTTTTCTATAGCTGCCTTTAAACCTGGCAAGAAAACATTACAAATCAAAACGCACGTAGACAAGCCTCCTATCTGATGTTAGGGACAGATTTTAATGATAAATGACACTTATGATAATAACTAAATATGGATAGCGGTCCGTCCCAATTAGTTCTAATCCTCCTCATGCTAAACAATGTTTACAGTCATTTTTAAGCACCAACCTTCTTCTGAGTCACTCCAGGGGAGTCCCCAGACTGTACACTGTTGTAAAACCACACAATTATAGACAGGTTGCAGAACTGTGGCCCCCTGGGTATAACAGCATCTGAATGAGTCAGAAACATACCAGGTGTTGTGTATGATAGTTCTTGTTTTACAGTGAGTCCAGAGGTCACCTGGCAGCTCGGTCACGCTCCGTCTCTTTATGACTCACATATTGTAATAATGAAGAAAATACTATTTTTCTGCGAAATGGTTTGTTTCATATTTTCTGATTCACTAATTGTGTGGTAATGTACAGGTTGTTTTTTTTTCTCTGATCCCCGAAGGGTTCTCTTCATTTCCTTAGAATTGCAGTCTTTAAAAAGGGTGAAAACCTGTTTCTTTCATGATTAGGCTTTTAATGTCAGGAAATCAGAATGCTGCTGCATGTGTTACCACAGTTTAAAATATTTAAACACTTTGATATACAAGAATTGTTTAATGACACATACATTTGAGGCGTCCTGGTTGTGTGGCTGCAAAGCAAATCCATATCATCACCCCTACACCACCGTGCTTGCCAGTTTGTATTAGGGCATTTTTATGGATATGCTTTTTTTTCTCCCTTTTCTCACTACATGCCACCGTGCATTATGGCCAGACGTCTCTAATTTTGTCATCTAAGTCACGCTGCCTTATTTCTTTCAGAAAGAGGACGCTATCTCCTGGTAAGCCACCCAAAAAAGCCACATTTTAGATTTTTACCATCATTTCAATACGTTTAACACGATAACACGAGCTAGCTGGGGGCTGTAAAAGCTGAAGTTTGTGTGAGCAGCAAAAGTGATTCTCTAAATCTATTTTATAAATTTTTTTTTCTCGCTTTCGCATTGCGTGTGCTTCATAGCAGCTAACTGCCAGAGCTCCTGCTTTTACAGAGGGGACGTATTAATCCAGTGCATTATTATTATGACCCGAAGCTTGCTGGTTTCCTTCAGAAAACCAGCAGCAATTGTATACGTTGTTTTCATACTGAGCTTTATTCAGTTTTGATTCTTCTTTTTTAATAACTTAAGACTGGGTGGAATGTTTACACTTTAGATTAGATTAAAACAAAATATTTGTAAAAACCAGCTCATATTTTTCATTTCTTAATATGGAAGACCCAAGAATAAGGAAGAGGGTGTACTTTTTATTTTAAAGGTATAGTTCAGGATTTTTTCTTTCTGTGGGTGGATCATCAAAATAAGTGGTCCTCCTAATTGTCAGTCATTCTGGTGATATGTTTACGCAAGGCCGTCTTACGTGCTCTTCCCAATTTTCACTTACCGGTGAGTCTGACATAGTGGAAAAATTGTGAATCTTCTTTTTGAAAGTAATGCAAACTGCAACTTTTAAACAAAGCGTACACAAGAAGAAATGGGCTTGTGCATGCTCTCGCACGCGTTTAATAGGCATTCCCTGCCGGGAGCAGGTACAGGGTTGTGCATGTGCTTTTTTTTGTTTTTTTGAGTGGAGAGGGCAGGTCTTTTAAAAAAATTTGCAAAAAATCCTGCACTATACCTTTAACTAAGGCAATGTAAATTAAAAACTTCTACCGTGTGAACTCCTGTGATTAATAAAATACTGGCTGGCCTATTTAAGAATTTTAAAAATTCATATTCATTACGTTTTTTTTTTTTCAGTTTCTGTTTATATGAAATAAACAAACTAAAAAAAGTACTACAGATTAATTGAAATAACAAAAGTGACACAATGCCACCATTTAAATAAAAGTTAAAGATATTACGTTATTTGTTTAGTATTCAAACTATCTTGAAATTCATACATTTCTAAAAACATTTTTGTTCAGTATTAATGCAGAGAAGAAGTGAGATAGGGCCACAACATTTAGCAACCAAGTGTTAAATTATATGTAGAAATGATAAATAACAGCATCAAAACAAAGATGAAGAAAAACTGAGCTACTCTTTGAGCGCAGTTCAATGTCCAGCATTACGGCAGATTGCTTATTATGTTAAAATAGAGGTATATTTTAATTTTGTTTGCTGGGCAGAAAAAAAAGCCCTTTTTGGTTGAGAGCAAAACACTGGTTTACTTTAAATCCACATCTCCATCCTTAGTCACAAGGTTACACGATTTAGCATCCAAATTCAAGGCTTTTTGATTTAATTATATTTTAATCTTTTTTTTTTCTTTCTTCAGTCCAAATGTATGAAATTTTAAAGACTGACTAAAACTGACTGCAGACAACATTTGTTGCCAAAGTCTCAGTATTATTATTTAGTGTAATAGTGATTCTTTCGTAGAATTATTTCCTATTTTTTTCTAACAGATTTGCATCAATTTAGCTTGCACATTATTAAAAAAAACACTCAGTCAAAAAAATGTCTAATGACTTTATTGTATAATCATTAATTATATATAAGGAATTAATGCTAATTTATTTTCAGATGTATATTTTAAGACATTAAAACTAATCTAAATTTTGATTTTAATTGGAAATATAACAGATAAAGCGTAATTTCATCTGCATACATGGATATCAGAGCCTAAGAAATGGGGAAGAAAACCATTCCCTGTTGCATATACAGTAGCTGTTGGTTACGGTTCAAGTGTGGAGTTGTGAGCTGCCAGATGTACAATAGCTGTCTCATTTCAGGTACAGCTTTGTTTTTTTGTTTTTGTATTTTGCAGGTCCGTGTTTAATATAAAAACATTAACAAAAGTTTGAATTGTTTGACGGTTAACTTGTAACAATTTATAAAAATCTAATTTAAAAATGCCATTTATGATCAAACGAAAACCACTGCTGTGTAAGGGTGCTGTCCGAATCAGATAAGTCGGACTCTTGACAGTCAGGATGTTTGATGCATTGCAACTTTGTCTTTCTTCTTTGGATGTGGAATCCAATCAACCTGACTTACATCTAGTAGATATTGCTGTTAGTTCTGCTCATGACAATCAGGCAACTGGAATTAGCCATTCATAGTCCCTGAATAATTGCTTAAAAGCCACAGTGGGGCAGAAATGTCCAGAAGTCTAACGTGTCCTTGTGGAAGATGGTGACTTAAGTTGTAGTTTTGAAAGACATACATGGAAGTTTAACATTGGCACTTACACAATGATTTAATAAGGCTTAATCTCCACAAGCATATAGATCAGGTCTCTGACAGCATGCCTGAGAAAAATGTTTTTTTTTTTTTATTAAAATGTGCCCTTTTTCATGTTAACATAAGATACAGTTAGGAGTTCATCTCTAAGCTTGCATACCTGCATGTACTGTAATAATGCTTTACGCTTGTAGTCTCCGTGCAATTTATGCCTCACTTTGCTATCCTTTTCTGGTTTGACTTTTCTATGATTTTATGTTTTTTAAATAATTGTTTGTCTTTGGTGGGGATTGTCTATCTATGGGAATGTCTAACTTGGTCTCCGTAAACGAAAGAGATCAGTTAGTTTTCTCTTGCTGATCTTCATCAACAAACTGCTTATTTTCTTCTGCTTTTCTAAGATTAAAAAAAAAGAACATTCCCTTTACTTTGTGTGTTGTCTTAATTTGAGCATTCTGAACTCTGAATTTGAGGGGTTGTGGGCGATTATGAGTGGAAATAATTGTTCAGTGTAGGAGCCACCCATGACATTAACTCTGAAATAAGGAAGTGGTAAATGGACCACAGTATAAACAAAGAGAGAGGGCGTTTTAAAGTTGTTTAGGTCTTTATTTCCTCTTTTTTAATGTCAATGAATATAAATACTACTCTATCTGGTGCACACCGGACACTCTGTCTAAATGTCTCTTTCAAGACGAAAACCTTTTTTTTTCTTGATGACGAAATGAAAGAGGAAAGCAGAGGTTCTGCTTTTCATTAACGAGGGAGACATCTAGCTATTTAAATTTACACTTTGTGAAACTCCCTTTACAGTGAAACTCTGGTCCCTTACTCAACCACAATAAAACATTAAGCACTTTTAACCAATGGAAGGTCAAAGTGGTTGATCTGAAAATATTGCACAGCTGTTAAAAAGAAATAGAGGATTTGTCCAAACATAAATAAGAACATCCAGATAGAAACAAGTAAGACATTAGTAGAGAACAGACAAGATTTAGTGCAATATATCTGGTAGACATATTTGCATTGAATTAGGCTATGCCTGGCAATAATGGATGACTTGTGCATTAGAGACAGGATTCTTGGCTGGCAATTTGTCATCTGGTATGGTCTCTCCCAAGTCCTCCTCCCAAAGTAACTTAATCGAGTCCATAGTTTGTGGGCGTAGTAGTGTAATTTGGATGTAGTTAAAAGAAACTTCCCTCTTCACACTAGGAAAAAGATGTCTAAAGATGAACGACCAGGATAGAGGGGAAAAGCTACAGACTTGTTGGTTTTGGAGAACTAACTTATCTGAGATCTGCTCCAAAGAGGCAAAAATGTTAAACATTTTTAAAAATGTTGGAATGTCAAATTTTGCACTGATTTGATAATTTCTACAAAATGCTAAATAAAGGTGAATAATAATTCAGGAGGACTCCTTTCAGTTTTTACCTGAACAAGCAAGACTTCATTTCAACTATCAAATTTGAAGAGTTGGTTCATCAATGCTTAAAATACTCTATACAGTATCCTGATTAGAGCTGCTAAAAACAATCTGAGAATATTATTTACAACAAAAATAGAGGCTTACATTCATATTCTGCTCATGCAACTTTAAAAAGTAAAATATAATAAATACTATTAGATTAGAAAGAATTACAATTGATTTAAACATGTCACACCTGCAAAGGTTATAACTAGTGTTTTTAAAAGGTAGAAATGTTGAGAGGAAAGAAACTGAAATGACAGATATTACAGCTACATATTATAGGACAGTTCCTAATACTGCTGAATGCACATTGGAGGTTGTTTTAGTTGTCAGAATGTTATAAAATGTGTAGGAAACAAGCTGTATGATCTATAGTTAATTCTAACAAAACCAGTGATGTTTTTTTTTCTTCTACAAAAAAAACAAACAACAACTTCGGTCTAAAAACACCAATAATCTGACACTGTTTTTATA